ACTACCCCAGGAAGTTACAACACTTTGGCAATGTTTCTTGAGCAAGTGATGATTAAAAATAATACCTAAAATATATGGAAGATTTCCTATTTAACAGAGACTATGCTAAGATTATTTCATTACCTTCATAAAAACCACATGAGATAGGTACCATTGTAATTCTACTTTACAGACAAAGAAACTGAAGTTAATTACTTGCTCAAGTAACAGGCAGAGGGAAGAACCAACCACCAGAGCAAGATTTAACAAGAACAAATCTGGTTTATTGGGAAGTAGAAACCTTCTAGAACTCTTATTTAAATTTGCTGTATTTTTATTTAATATGTGTGTGAATTTCTTCTTCAGGATGTTAAAGTTTTCATATTGTCTAGGACTTTAAGCAGAGGTCTCAAAGTCTGATAATATAATAGGTGTTAATCCTTCTGACATTTTGAATAGAGATGCCAATCTTCCTATCAGGAAATGCTAAGAGATTGATGAAGAAATTCCAGCCTCCAGGCAGTTACACAAAAGAAGACAAAGAGCTAAATGAAAATTCATGATGCTGATGGTAAGAATATCTCTGTAGAGTTGCTGAAGGTGCTGTGACATTTCCCCTCCCTATAAAGAAGGGAGAATGTATTAGTTAACTATTACAGCATAATAAATTATCTTACAACCAGGATAGTTAAAACAATAAACATTATCTCACATAGTTCCTATATAAATCAGGAATCTGGGAGCAGTTTAGCTGAATGGTGCTGGTTCAGAGTTTCTCATAAGTTACAGTCAAGAATGTCATTTTATTAATCAAGCTAAGGTCTCATGTACACACTCTTGCTGCAAGAAGGCTAAAAAAGAAGTGAGAAACTGTCTTTCTCACTTTCCGTAAGCAGTGCTCACCACCTCCAAAACATACGGAGGGGAATTCCTTAAACGCAGAAAGAGAACTCAAATGATTGACAGCAGAAAATAAAACCACAAAAATGTCAAATGCAAAGACATCTCTTTGGCAGCCTAACACCAATGTAACCGCTGCTTTCAATGTTTATACATCAAAAAAATTGTCACTTAAAATATTGCAGCTATCCTTCTAACAATCAAAGATGTACTTACTCTACTATCATCCAAGGGAGTCAATGCAGTGTTTCATTTGTTACCACATCCATCCATCCATTCCTAAGTCCAGAACCTCTAGTTGATATCCATTCTTTTCAACTTGGGGACTAAAGAATGAAATGTACCAACAATAGCACACCCTACAAATAGTAGTGAAGTAAAGGGTAAAGAAATAAAATAAAAGTTTAAACACATAAAAGTATACATGTCAATACAAGAAATACAAATAAAGATGACAGCTCTCATTTCTCTCCCTGATTATGAGTTCATCTCCATTTATGACTTCCTTTCTCCATTAGCCATTCTGTGTTCCCTTTACCTTCAACCAATACTTTCATTTCTAAGGGATCTGAGTGTTTGATGGACCTAGCTGTTTATGGTAGACCAGCAAACCTATTTCTGCTTGCTAATCAGGGTTAATCACTCCCTCCAATACCATAACCTTGTCCTTGTCCTTCTTTTGCCTTTGCAGTGACACAAGACATATAAAATGGTTAGAGAGCAGTCTCAGTTCCAAATCAATGGAACCATTGTTCAGCCTTTGTTGGAAGAATTCCTTTCTTTGGTAACAAACCTCTGAACCAGCAAAGCCCAGAATCTCAAAGAATAGCAATTAAAAAAATTTTTAAGTGGAAGTCATTAGGTATAACATTCCTTTGTTCCTAAATCCATTTATTTTGCCTATGGAAGTGTGGTGGTTTTAAAAACATGTTCATGACTTCTTTGACACTTCTCCCATTAAAAAAGGAGTCTCCTTAGATATAACCAGCCTTAGTGACTAAGTCCTAATGAACTAAATATGGTTTAAAGTGACACTGCAGGATTTCTGTTAGTTTAGAAAAGGCATTAATTAGTTTCTCTCTTTTGAGATGCTCGCCCTTGGAACCTGGCTACTGTGTTGTGAGTAATCCAACAGCACTGTGGAAAGGCCATGAGTAGGTGTTCTGGCCACAGATTCAGCATCAGTCACCAGACATGTGAAGGAGTGGGCCTTTAGATGATTCCAGCTCCAAAATTTTTAGCTGCCCCAACTAAATCAAGTGGAAAGTGGAACAGAGATAAGCAGTCCTCCCTGAGCCCTGCACAAATTATAGATCTGTAAGCAATGTGTATGACATAGTTATTTTAAACCACTAGGTTTTAGGTGGTTATACAGCAACAGATAATATAAACAAACAGAAAGAGTGCCAAATATTGGAAACTAGTTCAAAGCATATACTGCATCCTATAAGACAGTGTCAGAAAGGGTTAGCTCACAGAAGGCACCATAACTAAGTCTTTAATAAGATCAATTGCTTCTTGGTGATAGAATAACAATTATACCAATGAATTATATGGGCAATAGTCCACTGCATTCCTTCTCTCATCACAGAGTGAGCTTCTTGGTCGGAAGCAATATGGTATCAGACACAATGATAGTGTTTGAAATATTCCGAGTCCCCATGTCGTGGTGCTGACAGAACAGGCGGGGAAAGCAAATTTTAATCTAGAGTATGTGTATTTCAGAGAGGACAAATAATGATCAGGAAGGGTCAATGGAATCAACTTGCCTCCAAGTGGTTGACTGATCCTCCTGGAGCGTGGGGTATTATCACCAACTCAGGAATGGTCACTGCTGCTGGCAAACTGAACAGTCAGCGGTGGCTTGGTGACCCCATGCATAGCTTCCTGTTATCATTGCGTTATCATTGCCCTTTCATTTGTGATTCCACTGAACAAGGACTGAGCCTGGAAAAGGAGGCTGAGTTTCGTCCACAGAGCAGTTCACGTCATCCATACGCTTCTTAAGATTTATTCTGCAAGAATACCCGCTCCTAGTCTTCCTTGTCACCAGTTCTCCAATCTTGAACTTTCCATGTCCTTAACCAACTGGCCTGGCCATTTAGCCTTGGACCATTAATTATTACCCAAAGCCATCTCCCTTTTCAGGCAAAGTGAACTTCAACACACACTGGTGGACATCCAGCCTATTGAAAGGACTTCACAACTTCAGGACCACAGCGGGACTGCAACAGCCTAACAATCCATTGTGGACAGTACCAGTATATTATTCAGAGCAACATGCCTGCATGGTACCTGGCACATCATGGGTGCTCAATGTTATTTGTTGAATTATTATTTTATCTTTTTATTTTAGGCGAGGCAACTCTTGGTTGACCTCACAGATTGCAAGGACTTTGCCATCTTACAATCCCTTATTTTTTATGCCTACAGCACCTGGTCTTCCTTGGTGGTCTCCCATCCAAGTACTAACCAAGCCCGACACTGCTTAGCTTCTGAGATCAGACTGCATCAGGCTTTTTCAGGGTAGCCTGGCTGTAGACTGAATTATTTAAAAATGCAGACCACTTCCTTCCCCTGCTTAAATCCTTCAAGTTTCCTACCGATTTAAAAGACCCTGCTGGGTGTGGCCTCTGCATACCCCTTCTCTTTGTTCTTTGTACTCTAAGTATTGGTCCTTAATTCCTGCAATGTTCCAAGCTCCCTCCTGCCACAAGATCTTTGCTCAGACTTTTCCCTCTCCTTGCCTACTTAATTCCATCCTCAGACATTGACTCAAGGATCATTTCCTGTCTTGTAACCATCTTTTTTCACTGAACTTATCTCCATGTTCATTTATATGTTTAATTCCTGTCTTACTACAGGACTCTAAATTCTATGATTATGTGTATTCACCACTGAACCCCAGCACCTAAAATAGAGCATGGTATGAAATAGGTGCTAAATAATATTTGTTGAATAAATACATGAATAAATGAATGAATGTATCCATAATAAAATGCAGTATAGGTAATTTATCTACAAGTTATCACTGCCAGTTTTGCTATTAGTTTCTACTACTCTAATTCATCTATTAATTTAAAAAGGTATTTATCTAGACAAAAACTTTCCTAAGCATTGTTTCTATACTAGCACTATGCCAAAAAATGTGACAACATATGTAACTTTACTAATAGCCACATTATAAAAAGTAAAAAATAATCTTAACATTTTTTTAACCCAATCTATCCAAAACATTATTATTTCAACATGGTATCAATATGAAAATTGAGATATTTTACATTCTTCATATTAAGTCTTTGAAATTTGGTGGACATTTTACAGTTTCATCACATCTCAATTTGAACTAGTATATTGCAAGTGCTCAATAACCACACACGGCTAGTGGATGCTGTATGAGACAGTGCAGTTCTATAGGATTTACTTTCACAAAACAGTCTAACCATCCTCAGCACCTTTAATTAGTGTTAGGAAAAGTTCCTCAAGTCAAACCTTCACCCAGAAGGGTCTAACTCTCCCAGTATAAGAGATGATTTAAACCACATTCTAGAGTGAGCTGAACTTCCTTAGAATTTGCAACTTAGAAAGTTGTCTCTGAAAACAATTTTAGCTGTGTATTTTTCGGCTTCCTCTTATTTACTTTGCTCCCCCTGAAGGGCCACCTCCTTTGCAAACTCTTCTATTTCTCCTCCTTCAAGACCAGTTTGTAAATCTCCACATTTTGGAGTATGTCATGGAAAATCTGTCGGTCCCCTCGGCTGCCTAGTAAAGTTTGGGGTTGCCAGGGTCCATCCAAATCGCCCATGTCCAGCATTATTAATTCTTCCAGCGCTTTCCTTATGCCTGCTTGGGCCTCTGGAGTTGGCAGCCCAGAGAAGAGCACCAGCCAGGGTTTAGGGGCACACAGAGCTGAATTTGGAATTGCTCCCTCAGCTATGAAATGGCTTTCGCTGCCAGTATTACACGCATGTAACAGTTTTTCATTGCGTCTACCTCACCAGCCACAGCCACAAACAGCGTTTAGGTACCTCACGACCAGACCAACATCCGCCTCACCACCTGCCCTTGGCCAAAGGGGAAAAGGCGGGACATCCGCCTGGACCGAGCCACTTCCGGAAGTGACGTCGGAGTGTCAACATGCAAGATGGCGGCCCATCACCGGCAGAACACGGCAGGGCGGAGGAAAGTGCAGGTATGGCAGCCTGGCTTCTCGACCTCTCGGACGTGGCTGGCAGCCCCAGGTTCACCTCCAGCGAGCAGATGCCTCGGGTGGCGGTCGGGCGGGGTAGCGGCTTGGGGCGAGTGGGACGGGGTGCGGCCGGCGGCGAGGGGGGGGGCCGCGG